CGATATGATCTTATACTTAGAGAACCCCAGAGACTCAACCACAAGACCTCTGGAAGTCATCAAAAAATACAGTAATGTCTCAGGATATAGTATCAATGTCCACAAGTCAGTAGCCTTTGTATATGCCAATAACAGCCAAGATGACAGGCTAAATAAGGACACAACACCCTTCACCACAGCTTCAAAGAAAATGAAATACCTAGGAATAGACCTAACAAAAGAGGTGAAGGACCTCTATAAAGGAAATTATGAAACCCTAAGAAAGGAAATAGCAGAGGATATTAACAAATGGAAGAACATACCATGCTCACAGATGGGAAGAATCAACATTGTTAAAATGTCTATACTTCCCAAAGCAGTCTACTGATTCAATGCCATCCCTATTAAAATACCAACATCACACTTTCAAGACGTAGAAAAAAATGATTCTTCATTTTGTATGGAACTAGAAAAAAATCCATATAGCTAAGGCAGTTCTTAGTAATAAAAACAAAGCCGGGTGCATCAGCATACCAGAAATTAGGCAGTACTACAAAGCTGTAGTGGTCAAGACAGCCTGGTACTGGCACAAAAATAGAAACATAGACATTTGGAATCGAATAGAAAACCAGAAAATTAAAGTAACATCTTAAAACCACATAATCTTCAGTAAACCAAACAAGAACATACTTTAGGGGAAAGACTCCCTATTCAATAAATGGGGCTGGGAGAACCGGATATCCACATGTAAAAGATTGAAACTGGACCCACACCTTTCTCCACTCACAAGAATTGATTCAAGATGGATAAAGGACTTAAATTTAAGGCATGAAACAATAAAAATCCTCAAAGAAAGCATAGGAATAACACTGGAAGATATTGGACTGAGGAAAGACTTCATAAAGAAGACTGCTGTGGCAATCGCAACAACAACAAAAATAAGCACATGGGACTTAATTAAGCTGAAAAGCTTCTGTACAGCTAAGGAGACAACAACCAAAGCAAATAGACAACCTACACAATGGGAAAGGATATTTGCATATTTTGAATCAGACAAAAGATTGATAGCTAAGATCTATAGAGAACTCAATTTAATCCACATGAAAAAAGCCAACAATCCCACATATTACTGGGCAAGAGACATGAATAGAATCTTCTCTAAAGAAGACAGACAGATGGCTAACAAACATATGAAAAAATGCTCATTGTCCCTAATTATTAGAGAAATGCAAATTAAAACCACCCTGAGATACCATCTAACCCCAGCAAGAATGGCCCATATCACAAAATCTCAAAACTGCAGATGCTGGTGTGGATGTGGAGAGAAGGGAACACTTTTACACTCCTGGTGAGACTGCAAACTAACACAACTTTTTGGAAGGAAGTATGGAGAACCCTCAAAGAACTCAAGCTAGACCTCCCATTTGATCCTGCAATCCCATTACTGGGCATCTACCCAGAAGGTAAAAAATCCTTTTATCATAAGGACACTTGTACTAGGCTGTTTATTGCAGCTCAATTTACAATTGCCAAAATGTAAAAACAGCCTAAATGCCCATCAACCCAGGAATAGATTAACAAGCTGTGGTATATGTACACCATGGAATACTATTCAGCCATTAAAAAAATGGAGACTTTACAGCCTTTGTATTAATCGAGATGGAAGTGGAACACATTATTATTAGTAAAGCATCACAAGAATGGAGAAACATGAATCCTACATACTCAATTTTTATATGAGGACAATTAATGACATGGTGGGTGTGGGGGAAGGGGAGAGCAGAGAGAGAAAGAAGGAAGGAGGGGGGAGAAAGGAAGAGCAGAGAGAGAGAGAAGGAGAAAGCAAGGTGGGGTCTTTGTGTGTGACACACCTTTTGGGGGTGTCAATCTCACAATCTCACACGATTGTGAGAGGGATTTTACTTAACAAATGCCATCAGTGTAACCTGGTTTCTTGTACCTTCAATGAATCCCCAAAAATAAAAAAAAAAAAAGAAAAAGAAAATAAATAAATAAAAATAAAAAAATAAAAAAATAAAGCAGCTTTTGTAAACAAGCTCTATGGGGTAAAGG